GATTGAGCTGGTGAGCAGGGGCACCAGACCAAGGCAGGGTGCTGGTCACTGTCATCAGGGCAAGTCTATGGTAGTTACTGAAAACTCTTTGCTCCCACAGGCTGTGGTCCCACCCAGCATTCGCACCTCCTGCCTGTGCCAGCCTGCTTGCACCCACTGCCAGTGCCTGACGCTGGACCCGATTGCTTGGCACTGTCAGTGGGTGCAAGCGGTGACTGCTGGCCCCGACTGCCCCTCAGGGCTTCTCTACCTCCCTCTGCTCTTGAGGGGCGATCGGGGCAGCAACCGCCACTCGCACCTGCTGACAGCACCAGCCCTGCTCTCACCCACTGCTGGCGCTGGCCCCAATAGCTCCGTGCCATCAGGGGGTGGGAGCAGGGCCAGCACCATCAGCGCATGGGAGCAGCGGCAGCAAGAGTGGGGCTGTGGGCAGATGGGGCCAGGGCCACAGTGAGGTAGGTCAGGTGGGGGCATGTAGGATGGGCCAAGACCGGCCCCTGTGCCCACCACAGTCTCACGGCCCATAGTTCCTTTCAAGGTGCACAATTTTGTGCACTGGGCCCCTAGTTTAAATAATGCAAAACATGGTACTGTTTCATTGATAATAAAAAATATGCAAAATACAAAGTTCAAAATCTTAGTCATGCAGAAATTTTGCATATGAAAAAATTGCCATTTGAATCATTAGAGTAAATAGGGACTAATCAATTACTGATGTCAAACAACTGTAGTCACCTGGAAAGAAAAGTCAGATTGGTATCTTACAACATTCCATATTAAATGAAAGTGTTAAATGTAAAAATTAAAAAACAGAGAAATGTTACACAATTACTTTATAACTTTGAATGGAGAAGGCCTTTGTATCTTTAATCAAAATTTAGACATCAGAAAGAAAAGATTGATCATGTGACTACATGAAAAGGAAAAATGTCTCCTTGTGAAAGTTGTCATAGGTGCAGTCAAATGTCAAAAGGAAAATTCAGAATGAATATACAGTATTTCTAAAGATATGTGAAAATACTCATCTTTACTCATAATGAGAGCAAAGAAAAATTTAAAAGCACCATAAATATATGATTTTCCTTTTAGTAGTCTGGAAACAAAAATTGAGAGTTTGACAACTTGGTGATCTTATCCATTGCTGGCAAAATATAAAATGACTCTAATATCTTGGTAGGGAAATATTAGAAATGTATATATGATTTGACCTAGCTTTTTCATCACATATACCTCCCATGCATATGTTGAGTAATATATATGAAAGATTATACTTGGCATCATTGGTTATTTAAGCAAAAGAATAAGCACAGATGTATAAATGATTGTGGAATACTCCCAGTACTGATTCGACAATCAATGAGATACATGATAAAAGGAAAAGAAAGTAAGTAATGCAATAATATAGAATCATGTGTAATAGGCTACCTTTTAATTCTTTATATTCAACTTGTGATTATCTCTCTGGGGAAGGCTTTTTCTATGTTCTTTGCCCCAGTGTTGACATTTTACTATTTTGAGAATTTGGTGAATTATATTCATATTATTTAATTGAGATACAATTGACTGAAATACTATGTGAGTTTCGGGTACACAGCATTATCTTACCTAATAATCGACAAACTTGTAAATTAACCATCCCTCTGCTACGCTCACCAGCCAATCAGAGTGATATTCAAATTAACCCAACAAAGATGGCGGTTAATTTGCATACACAAGTGCGGAGCAAAGAGTGAAGACAGCATAGAAGGAAGCCAGGTGACGGAGAAGCGAGTGAAGCGGCGGAGAAGGGAACGGATTGGAGGCAGCTGAGACAGGAGCAGAGGCGAGGCAACAGAGACAGGAGGGAGCGAGACAGCGGAGAGGAGAGGGAGCCGAAATGGCAGAAGCAGGAGGGAATGAGGCGGTGGACACGGGAGGGAGCTGAGGCCGCAGACACAGGAGGGAACGAGGCAGCGGAGGTGGGAGGGAGCGAGGCAGCGGAGAAGGGACTGAAGCCCGGCAGGCTTCACTTCCTTCTCTGCTTTGCTCAGGCCTCGGGAAGCCCTATTCTTGCAGGAATCTTCCTGCAATGGGCCTCTAGTGATTCTATATTTGTACATAATAAAAGTGATCACCACAGTAATTGTAGTTAACATTATTCACCATATCTTTTAAGCTTCTCAAAAATTATTAACATGTTAAGCACCCAGTCAGTCACCAGTGACTGACACTATACTTTCCCTCTGTAAGACAAAACAGGCTGGGCGCTTAACATGTTAAATACGAGAGGGCCCGTGCACAACATTAATGCACTGAGGGGTGTGTGTGTGGGGGGGCCCTCAGCCTGGCGTGTGCCTCTAGCAGTCCAGGACCCCTCGGAGGATGTCTGTCTGCTGGCTTAGGGAGCAGGCCTAACCCAGCAGGCGGATCTCCCCGAAGGGGTCCTTAGAGCTGCTGCGCAGGCAGGAGAGGCTCTTGCCACCGCCGCTGCGCTCTTAAGCCATGAGCCCGGCCTCTGGCTGAGCTGTGCTCTCCCTGTGGGAGTGCACTGACCACCAAGGTGCAGCTCCTCCATTGAGCATCTGCCCCCTGGTGGTCAGTGCCTGTCATAGCGACCGGTCATTCTGCTGTTCGGTCGATTTGCATTTTAAGGTTTTGTTATATAGGATATGTGCTCACTGTTATTTCCCCTTCTATTACCTCTGTGGGTTAAAGCATTTGTTTTATTATTATAATACCTCTTTTGGGGCTTTGGGAGGAAAGGACAATATCTCAGTTAAATTCAAATATTTAACAAGTACATCATTATGGCAAAATATTGACTTATAAATTGGGACAAATTAGATAAAATGTATAAATTCAGAGAAAAATGCTAGTTGGCAAAATGATTCAATAATAAATATAAAATATGAATAATCCTACAAAAGCTCAAATAATTAAATAATATAGTTTTTAAAAAATATTTCAACAACAATAAAATCATGGAAATATATGGTTTTCTATACAAGTTATTTCTAATATTCAATGAAGAATCACTAGTAGAACTCCTCACAAAAATATTAAGGAACATTCATCAATTTATTATATGAGGTCAGCGTACCATATTTGAATTATTTTCATCACATTAAAGGTATGATTTTTATTGACATCATATTTACTGAATATTTTCATTTCTTGTGTCTCATCTCTAAGAGACCTGTTCATTGACTATTTTATTATTAATATACTAATCATTTTCTATAATTATAAGATTGTAAGCAGTCAAATTATACCTGTAATGTCAAAAAGAATTGGAACATTATGCTGGCTTCCTAGCTTCCTCCTTTTTTCCCCGGAGTGATATGTGAGATTTCTAAATTAGATCTGCACACAGCAGGGGGATTTCAGCTTGAAAATCATCTCCACCTTAGAATTCAATGTCATTTGCAAAGCTTACAAGATATTTTTCAGAAAGTCATGCTTCATGAGCCATAGACTTTAGGTTTGCTAACCATAAGCAATCCAAAATCATAGTGTTAGCTATAGGATTCTGTGGATAAATAATATCTCTCTACCAAATATTATTGATCTATTTACTAGGAGGTGTATCTATGTCTTGTGGAGATTTATCAGGTCTCCTGTGTTCTTTCATTTCCTGTAATGTTGCATCCATTATTAAAAGATAATAGGTTCTCAGTTCAGCCTAATTAGTTCCTTTCTGCCCACAATTTTGAGATCTCATTTGTGTGTGTGTGTGTGTGTGTGTTTCCAGATTTCTCATTCCCTCGTTCCCTATCTGTTTAGCAATCATATTCACCTTCCTCTGAAGATACTTCAACACATTTATCATAGATATTTTACAGTCTTTATGCAATAATTCTAAATCTGGGCCATATTTACATATGTTTTTACTAAATTTCCTCTTGAATATATGTCATATCTCTTACTTTTGTGCAATCTCATTTTTATTGCATCATAGAAATTATATCTAACAATAGAGTGTGAAGTAGTTAAATTATTTATGTATATCTGCATCTATACCTACACATACACACAAGCACGCATATTCCCTTCCTTCATTCCTTCCTGTGAGAAAATAAGGATGAGGTCCTGATTATTTTTCTATCACAAATGCTTTATTTTTTAAAATTTCTTTTGAAGTGGTTCCCTATACAACTGTAGCATGTAAAATTATTTTTATAAATATTGTTTATAGTAACTACATCAGTTTTCAGTTATTAATTGAAAACTCATTTGACATTTGATTATTTTTAATGGATTAGCCCAGATACTGTGTCTTATACTGATGCTCTGTATTTCAGGCTACATTTTTTTAAAAAGTTATCTTTATTATTGAAAGTATTACCCCCTTTTTTCACGTTGAACCCCTCCAACCCACACCTGCTCTTCTCCCCCCTTGCAGGTCCTCACATCACTGTTGTCTGTGTCCTTAGGATGGATGGATGGAGATATATATATATATATATTCCCCTTTGGTTAATCTCTTCCCATCCCTCAACCCCATCCCCTTCCCTCTGGCCTTCCCTCTGAGATTCATCAGTCTGTTTCCTGATTCTATGTCTCTATCTACTTTGTTCATCAGTTTATTTTGCCTCAGGCTAATTGTAAAATGAGATGGTTGGTGCCCTCTGGTTAGGCTCAGTGGATGGAGCATCGGCCTGTGAATTGAAGGGTCCCGGGTTCGATTCTGGTTGGGGGCATGTACCTTGGTTACGGGCACATCCCCAGCAGGGGGCAGCTGATCGATGTTTCTCTCTCATCGATGTTTCTAGCTCTCTGTCCCTTCCCTTTACTCTCTGTAAAGAATCAATAAAATGTATTTTAAAAAAATAAAATGAGATGGTCGGGCCTTATATTTTAGGTCTCTTTCATATTTAGTGCTCTATAGATATAGAACCTTATTTTGTGATATATGTCATATTGATCTGATCGAGTAATTTGACAATTCTCTTTAGTACTTAACTGTGACTTCAAGTTTGTGAGAAGTTATTTTCTTTTGTTTCTTTTTTGTTTGAAAGTACCTGAAGGTGAAAAGTGTCAAGTGACTGTTGATGCTTCTTTCTCACTGAAAACTGCACTGACAATGCAGACTATGTGCACAAATCTGAAGACATTGATAACCCATGTTTGTTTCAGTGTGAAAAACATGGAGGTAAGGTAGCATTTCTCATGTTTCTCTTTAATTCCTATTGGTCTGATTTGAAAAAAGTTAGAAATGTTAAGTTTACAAACTTAAAGTCCAAGATTTGCACAGCTTAAATAGAACTGCATAAACAAATTTTCAACAATCTACTTGGAAATCTTTTTTTTCAATTTTTTTTTTATGTTTATAATATAGAAGGGTAATGAAGAGTTTAACAATCATTTTATTTCTAGTCTTTTTGTGTTTTAGTTCTGTTATAATTTGCTGACTGATTAAAGCCTCTTAAACACAATTATGATTATGCCATCTTTTTGTTTAGAGATCATAAAGAACTATGATTGTCTTTTGGAATATACTTAAGTCTCTGGGAAATTTCTAATCTCTGTGCAATTTTACCACTAACAATTATGGGGCCTAGTACAAGAATGCCAAAAGTGGCCCTGTTTTCCGCCATCTTGCCTTCATCTTGTACAAATTAGGGCAATATTTTCAAACAAATAACAACAAGAAGCAATGATTTTAGGATATTTATTTTAAGGAACATTTGTCAAAATGATTCAGAGGTTTTTAAAAAAGTTTAGAGTTAATAGAATATTTGTAACCACTCTTCCCTAGACACAACCTAATTTAGCTATTTTATAGAAAAAAACATTTAATTTTATTTTTATATTTGGCATATATTCATATTCAAAATTAATAAAAAGTTATAAGCTTTCTATTACTAAATCTATTAACATTAAGCCAATTTTATAAAAAAAAAACAGTTTACTTCAAAAGCAACCAACTAAAGGGACATTACAAATATAGAAAACAGACTTCAAATTCCTCACATGTTTTAATTTCATGTATACCCTCATTTTTTTTAATTAAGTTACATGCATATGTATTAGGCTTACTATAGTTTTACATGTATTCATTTATGCAGTTACAGGTATATGACTATGCTATAGATGACTGAAGTTTTTATCTTTAGGATTTACTGTACTTTATTAGCATATTAAGGAACATTATCTATTAAAGTTACTAATTAAATAACTGTATACTTTCTCTTAGGATAGAAAAAGCAAATCATATTTATTATCTTGTATACATAGTTCTGTTTCTTTGTTTTCTTTTAAAGTAACTACCAACTTTAACTACAGTAACTAACATTATTTTTTTAAGACTGAAGAGAAAACCTGACGACAGCAATCAAATAATGTTTTAGCTATTTTATTTTTTCATGATCACACATTTTATCTAACTTTTACAACTCTGATGTTAATTAAAATAAACATAAATATGCCAACATAAATATACAGGGTGGGAAAAAGTAGGTATACAGTAGTTCATATGGAAAATAATACAATAATCTACACTAATAAAAGAGAAAAATGGTAATTGGCATACGAGCTACCCTTTTCATTGGCTAATCAGGGCTATATGCAAATTAACTGCCAACTAAAATTGGCAGTTAACTGCCAACTAAGATTGGCAGTTAACTGCCAACAAGATGGCGGTTA